AGTCACACATAAAAACCACAAAGTACACAGACACAAAGTAGGTCAGTGCAACACCTCACACACACAGAAAAAAGAAACAGCCGCTCAGAAGCACAAGGGGATAAGGTCGGAGTCCTAAAAATGTAGGAAAACCGTGTCAACTTTAACCCTGCCTAAAGCAGACCCTAGTAACCAAAGGAGATCAAAAAATCCTCTTTGGCCTCCTGGGTTGCCTGTACATGAGCACGGAGGCTGCTCTGTAATTACAGTGCATTGGAGCAGATTTGATTATTCGCACTCCAGCACCCTCCCGTGTCTCATGCTTTTTGTTCCCCGCACTTCTAAACGGTGGCAGGTGTGCTTAAACTAACATTTGTTAGTTTAAGCACACCTGCCACCGTGAGGCACTTTAACTAAAGCAGCTCTCAGAGCCACTCTAAGTAAAGTGCCGCCCACCCCCGCCACCCACGGAGCACATGTGAAAGTGCCCCTGATGACCGGCATGACACCAGAAGCATGGGATGGCTCCATGCTTTCCACTCGGTACTCCAAGCTGGGGACCCCAAGCACCTGACCCCACATGTGACACATCCTGGCTGCAGAGCCAGAGCTCCCTTTTCCATTAGCCTAGCACGTCCAACTTTCTAGGTAGTTCCCACCTTCCTACGCCTCCTCCCTCCTCGCTGCCTCCCCAGCTCCCCAAGGTTCCCCGTGGCCTGCGCAGTGAAAAAAATCTTGCTGTGCAAGGGGAGTGCAAGAGCACCACAGCTCCCAACAGGTATTAAGCAGAGGACAGGAGAGCCAATGCTCTCTTTCATTGATAGAAACACACACACACACACACACACACACACACATGCATGCATGCACACCCACTCACACCACACACACACACTGCAGAAGTAAGTTTTTTGAATTTGGGATTAAAAACTTGATTCTTTTCAGTAATGACTTTTTTCTTTTCAGTTTACTAGCTTGGACTTTGCTTTCCGCTTCAGGTAGACTGCTATACTCTTCCCTTTCTCAGGAGCCTGAGGTTTTGTTTTATGGCAGGGGTGGGCAATTACTTCAGCTGGAGGGTCGCTTCACGAGTTTTGGTGAGCCTTCTTGGGCCACATGGGTAGCCCCGCCCTTTAACAGTTGCCCTCTGGGGACCAGAAATCCCTCCCCTAACCCCTGACCTTTGCTGCTGGGAGTGTCTCTTCTTGCCCCCAGAAGTGCTCCTTTTACGGGGGGTGGCCTTGGGGCTGGAAATTACACCCTGTCACATGGGCCACGTCATAAGATCCACCCATCCAACACCAAACCTTGCCCTACTCACATCTGTCCCAGAATCCCTTGCCCATTGCATGATCCCAGACATCAGAAGTTCTACCCCTTGACTGGGAAACACTGCCCCTGCACAGGGCCCACCCTCCCAGTGCATGGCCTGCTCCCGGGGCTCCAAGAGCTCTGCCCTCTAGGCCATGAGGCACAGGCACAATTTATCAGGTAGGAAGGGGTTGTGACCCTCTAACATCCTGCCCCGTCACCCTCAACCAATCGGTGCGGCTTCAGGGGCATCAGACCTCCCCGAGAACAGAACCAAACCAATTGAGTCAAGGACTGCAGACACAAAATCTTTCAGAACAAAACATTTTAACCAAGTATAGATCAAGTATTGTGTACGAAAAAATTAAACATCTACTATAACAGATTTTAATTTTATTTAAAAAAATAATTTGAGTAGCATATGTAAAGGTGATTAACAAAGACAAAGGAACTCAAGGTGAAGAATGAAGCCTCTGATGTGCGTTAACCAGAAAATCAAAGTCAGGCGTCATCTCTGTTGTTGCAATGCGGAGCACTGCTGCAAGGTGGTCCCCGCTCATCGAAGATCTAAGATTCGATTTGTTGACTTTCATTACAGAACGTGTCTGCTCGCACACGTATGTCGATCCAAACAGCACAAGCATCTTCCGGGCATGAGTCTTGATCTTTGGAAACTTCTGTTCATTGAGAGAGGCATAAAAGCTAGGAAGTGGCACTGCTTGGAATTGCTCCGCAAGCAACGCATCATACTGCAGATCAATAAGCTCAAGTTGGAGGTCACATGGAGCACTGTCAACATTAAATGTGAAAGGTGAGGAGACCAAAGACAAGTCTTTTTCTATCATTTGAAAATCCTTAAATCGGCAAGAAAATTCAGCATGCAAGTCTACTAGTAATGACACGTATTTTTTTAGGTTTTGATCAGAAACAGTAACCTGCTGCAATGTAGGAAAATGGCTGAAATCTTTGTTTCCTATCTGACGGGCGAAAAGGAGTAACTTCATCATAAATGACTTGATGTTGGAATGCAATTCATGAGCAAAAAGCCCCTTCTCTTGCAGTCGTGAATTCAGATCATTCATGTAGCCTGTGACATCAATGGCAAATGCAAAATCAGAGAGCCAATCTGCATCATTCAGCTGTGGGAAAGCCAAATCTTCTTTCATGTTCAAAAATAAACCAATCTCGGCTCTCAGTTCCCACACTCTTTTCAAAATGTTACCCAAACTAAGCCAACTTACACTGGTATCATGCAGAACATCTGTGTGCTCAGATTCAGACCCCTCAAGCAGAGCTGCAAATTGCCTGTGGTTTAATCCTCTTGCTCGAATGTAGCTGACCACTTTTGTAACTGTGTCCACAACAGTGCTTAGTTTTAGAACACTTTTACAGAGGACCTCTTGATGAATAATACAATGTAATAAAATAATTTTCTGTTCTGGATCGGTTTCTTTGACTTGGTCTTGAATTATTTTGAGCAATCCAATGTCTTTGCCTGCCAGGTTTGGGCTTCCATAGGTGGTCACACACACCAATTTTTTCCAGTCCATTCCCAGTTTTGACACGCATTGATCTACTGCCTCCAATAAATCTTTTCCAGTTGTTGTGTCTTTCATTGACTGTATCAATGCCAATTCTTCTGTGAGCTCAAAATTTTCAGTGATTCCTCGAATGAAAATCAACAACTGGTCTGTGCCTTTGACATCACAACTGTCATCGAGTGCCAGTGCAAAATATGAGAAATCATTTACCTTACTTTTCAACTGCTGGTGCAGATTCTCAGAGATATCTTCAACACGTCTCACAATAGTCCGCCTTGACAACCTAACGTTTTCAAACTGCTCCTTCTTGTCTGGGCACAAAATCGCAGCAGACTTAAGTATACATTCCTTTACAAATTCTCCTTCAGAGAATGGTTTGCTCTTCTTGGCAATTATGTGTGCGATCTCATAACTCGTTCTCATAATTCCATCCCGTACTTCCAAAGCTTTTGGGGAAAAACTTTGCTCTTTCTGCATTGCAGCAACCATCTCCTCTGCTTTCTTTGTTTTTTCTTGGGCAGACAGTTTATCATATTTGGATGCATGCTTGGTTTCAAAATGCCGATTCAAATTGTATTCTTTAAATACAGCCAGACTTTCTTTGCAAATTAAGCAAAAAGCTTTTTTGCCCACTTCGGTAAAAAAATATTTAGAGGTCCATTTTTTGTTGAATACTCGGCGTTCAGTGTCTACCTTCCTCTTCTTTGATGTGCTCATAGCCAAATCATTTTTCTGTGGAGGGGTGATATTAGGGATATAAATATCATTTAAAAATATCCATTTACATTTTTCTAAGTTTGCCACTTAACCATAACATCTCAGGGCATTGCCCTTGCTCTGGCCTCTGCCCTTACCAGTCACATAGATGTCCTTGTTATAACAGCCATGCCCAGGTGATTGAGGGACCCTGGCCAGGTAACCATGTAGGACCTGCAATCCAGCACATAGCAACAGGCCTCGAAGTCACAGGCAACTTGCCACCAAGGGTAGGTGGGCCAGTAACTGCAGTAGGAGTACTGGGCCTCCTGTGAGGACACAGCATGGCTGTTGCTTATGTACCTACCAGGGCCCAGCCCACCCCAGTTTGCCCATGGCTCCAATGACAAACAGTTCCTGACTGCAAGGCCAGGACCTGCACAGCACAGCAAGGAGTTAACCCCGCCTGTCAGGCCCTGGCTGCAGCAAGTGGTTGCCAGCTGCAAGGCTGGACCTTCACATGGAGCAAGGAGTCAGCCAGGGCCAGCCTGGCAGCACCTGGTTCCCAGCTACAAAGTTGGGATCTCATGGCCAGGCCCATCTACTCCCAGGAGCACAGGGGTCTTGGCTGCAAGGCAAGAGCCGGGACCTGCACAGCGCAGCAGAAGCCAGCCCAGCCTTCCCTTCCCCTCACCAGTGCCACATACCAGGCCTGTCCCGCATGGCAGGATCCAGCCCAGCCCATCCTGCCACACATGGCGGGAAAAGCTGGCCAAACCCCTTGTTCCCCTCACCTGCGATGGCCTAGCCAGGCCCATCCTGCATGGCAGCAAAAGCTGGCCAAGCCCCTGTTCCTCTCACCTGCACTGGCTGGGCCCATCCCACATGGCACAACTCGGCTTAGCCCAGCCCAGCCCACCCCATGTGGTGGCAAAAGCCAGCTGAGCCTAGCCTAGCCTAGCCCATCCCGCCCCGCACAGCAAGGCAGAAGCCAGCCCAGCTCCAGGTTCTCCTCACCGGCACCAGCTCAGCTCATCCAGTGCTGCAGGACCTGGCACAGCACAAGAGAAGCCAGCCCAGCCCCCTCTTCCCCTCACTGGTGCCAGCCTGTCCCATTCCACACAGCATGGCATGGTGCAGTAGAAGCCGGCCAAGCTGCCACTTCCCCTCACCTGCGCCAGCCCAGCCGAGCCTGTCCCGCGTGGCCAGCCCAGCCTGTCCTGTTCTGGGGAGTGCAGAAGCTGGCACAGCCTCTGCTTCCCTTCACCTGTGATGCAGGAGCTGACCGATCCTGTCCAGTCCTGCGCAGCAAAGCAGAAGCCAGCCCAGGCACCTGTTCCTCTCACTGGTGCCACACAATCTGGCCCAGCCCATCCTGCCCGCCTCAAGCTGCAGACCTAGTCTGAGCTAGGGGCCCAGCGAGGCCAGCTGGCTCAGGTTGGGGTCAGGGTTTGTTGCTTCACAACCAGAGCCCAAGCAAACAGCCAGATGCTCCTGCAGCCGCTGGAGGCTTTCATGCAAGCTGCTGCCATTACTTGCATTTTGGAGGGGCTCCACAAGCCAGATGAAAGTGCCTAGTGGGCCGTGGACTGTATTTTGCCCACCCCTGCTTTACATGGTGGCACTGACATTTCCCCCCTGTCCCCATGTAGGTGCTTGTCCAGGCCTGAGGGGCACACAAAGCTATTCCCTCATTTGGTGAAGCAGTTGGGGAGCTCTTCAGAATGGATCGGGGGGTAAGCAACTAGGGTTGAGAAGCAGGTGAAGCTTTTCCCACACCTGGTCCATACATGGGGCTTCTCCCCATTGTGCCCTATCTTGTGAAGAGCCAGGAGTGATGAGTTAAAAGTTTTCCAGACATTGGGGCAGGGGTGGGCTCTTGCCCGGGGCTTGGCAGTGAGCTCCTGATTCCCTCTGAGGCCCTCCCCACTGCCTTGGCTTGGATGCCTCTTTCCACTGGGTCTTTAGGTCTCTCATCTACACATACTCTTCCCTGCACCCACGGCTCTTTCTGGGTGTTGCCCCTTCTCCACTCTCACACCCAATTGGAGATGGTACCTGGTTCACTGCTACATTCTCCAGCTGCTTTCGGGGTCTCCCCTGATTCTTGGGCCATTGCTCCTTCTCAGGTTTCAGGGATTCCATCTCACCCAAACTCCCTGGGGAAGTCCATGATGGCTCCAGGTTTGCAGGCCCTTCCACAGGAGTCTCCTCCTCAGCTCTGTTCATGAGCCAGACACCTCCTGCATGGGGAAGAGAAACTCCAGATTAGTCCCTGCCCTGCTGGCAAAGGGCAAACATTATTATTCCTTCTGCTGGGATGGGCCTGAGTAGAACCTGGACCTTGGCCCTTGTGTTCCCTCAAGAAATCAAGGTCTTCCTTTCAAAACCCAAAGTGGTGGGGGTCAGGGAAAGGCAGGGCTAATGTTCCCAACTCGGGGGAGTTCAGAGTCCGACTCTCAGGGTTTCTGCCCCAGCTGTCAGCCCCATCACCTCAGGCCCTGCTGAGACAAGCATGTGTGGGTAGGAGTGCACCAATAAAGATTTTTTGGGCCGATACCGATGGCCGATTGTTAATGAGCCATATCAGCCGATACCGATCTGATCGCCCAGCTTGGAGAGCAGCATGCACACAGCATTCACCAGCAATGTTATCGGCCACATCAGCCAAAAAAACCACCAATTGCTGATAATATCAATTTTCCTTTTACAAGCACTGATACAATATGCACTGTTGTATACCGGTGCACCTCTACATGTGGGACATGTGCATTAGGACGTGTGTATGAAGCCTGCCTGTCTTCATGCTCCAAAGGGCAGAGAAGGGAGGTGGGACTTAAGAGCTCTGGCTCTGTTCTGCGAGCAGCAGGGCTGTGCCGCCTGCATGCCTCCACGGCAAGGTCTGGTGCAGGGAATGAGCCCAATTTAAGGATACCATATTTCCAGTTTCAAAGAAAAGGACACCTGCGGTGGGGAGCGAAGGAAGGAGTATATGATAATGGGGGGGGTTAGCAGTGATATATATGCCCCCTGTCCCCCCAGCCCTGCCCCTCACTCCCAACCCGCAGCCCCTGCCCGCCACAGCCCGGCCGGTGCCCCTCACTCCTGACCTGCAGCCCCTGCCTCCCAGCGCTGCCGGTGCCCCTCACTTCTGGGTGCCTGAACTTCTGACCTGCAGCCCCCTGCTCCCTCCCAGCCCTGCTGCACAAGCAGCTGGCTTCTGCCTGCTGCACAAGGAAGGGCCCACCTGGATAGCATGTGATCCCCTGACAGCCAATCAACTTCCCCACTGCCCCCCCACCCCAAGCAAAAGCAAAAGCAAAAACCTGGATATTTGCTTGCATTTTAAAAACCCGGCCTGGATGGAGGACAAGGGGCTGAACAAGAAGACATGGCCGGGAAAACCCGGACGTATGGTAACCCTACCAAGCCCCAGGTGTGCCCTGCATGTCTGAGTTATATATACCAGGACAAAGGCCTTGGCATGACCCTGAACCTGGACTCTGTGCTGAGTCTTAGGCTTTGTGATACCCGGGGCCCAAGAGAGGAAACAGAAAGGGGGCAATTCTGGTGCAAAACATGGAAGATTTCCTTCCCTCCACAACATGAAAGCTTCTGAATACTGCCTGCGCCATGGAGCCATTTCATGCAGCCTGAGATCCCGATGAAACACTTCCTGGGTTCCAGGTCAACCTGGCCAGGAGAAGCCACAGGGAGCCCCGGCTTCTCTCTTGTCTACCAGGAATGGTTAAACAGAGCTTCTGTATATCTTCTCCGTTTCCATGGGGGACTACAAATCCTATCATGCCCTGGGACAGGGTGTTAGAGAGGTATGGCTTCTGGCAGAGAGCCACCTTTGTTTCTCTCCCAAAAACTCTGCTCTGTGACAATTTGATTAGGGGCCCAGCAGAGAGACACATCCTAACCCTATCTCTTTAGGTAACCTGAGCTGGATACATTCCTGAGGGAGGGGGGAAACCTGCTCCCTCTGCCTATGTGACTAGTATCACATACCTGGGTGAGGGGCTTCCTTCCTGGTGGGCTAGAGTCTGCCCGGCAACTAGTGATGTATTTCAAATTGGTTGGCTGACAGCCAACAGGTGCTGGCCTCCATTGGACCAGGTGAATGAGGTCACAAGGGCTATATAAGTTAAGGACTGCCAGGAGGAGGGGGGTGGGCAGCAGCCATGAGGGAGACTCAACAAAGAGCTGGACCATCTGAAACTGGCTCTATCTCTCAAAACTCATGCTCAAGGAACTGCCTGCCTCCAGAGGGAATCTCCACCTGCCTCTGGATGATACT